GTGGACTGGAACGTGTGGTGGAGGCGTACTACCGGCCATGCTGCGGCAGCCGGCCCAGAAGCCGGGGGGCAGGGCCGATGTTCTGCGCCTCCTGCCAGAACCCGTGGGGGACCTCCAAGACCAAGTGCCTGCTTTGTGGCAAGTCGGGCGCCCCGGCCCCCTTGGAGGAGATGACGCACTTGCTGCGGGTGGACGGGGGGTCTTGGCGCTTGGATGTGGATGCGAACGGTCTCCCCCGGTGGTCCCTTGCCTCGGGTGCCGTGGGCCCCGACAAGGCGGGGGTCACCGATGACAAGCAGGTGGCGGCCGTGGACCTCTGCGGCCTGGCACAGCAGCCCCTGCCCAGTGCCACCCCGGAGGAGGCCTCCTTCGGCGCCCGGTGGGTTGCGCACATCCTCCAGTTTTGGGGTGTGGGGGCCGGCGTGAGTTCTGGCCCCACACACCATGCATCAGTTCAGCAGACCTGGAGGGCTGCTGCCCAAACTGGCACCTAACCTCTCACTCTCGACAAAGAGGGGGCTGCTTGCTGGCCCAAGGAAGCCTTTGGGAACACAAGGGGTTGTTGGCTGCTGCAGTCTGAGCAGCAAAGCAAGATATGGCATGACAGACTTCTTCTACCTTCTGACAGCCAACAGGAAAAGTCGATCATACGCCAAGTAGCTGAGACATTCCTCCATCATGTGCCAACCAGGTGGTTAGTGCTCTCCTTCATGCACCTCCGGGCACATCCGAGGCCGTGCCTACAGGAGCCTGGGCGTGACCCCCAGACCAGCTGGCGACAACCATTCGACGGACAGGCATGGAGTTCCCTAGTTTGCTGCTTCAGCCTGTTGAGGGTGACAGTTGCAAGAGGACAAGCAGATTCGTTTGGTCATGGGCGCTTCAAGAGACCCAAAGTGGTGGTCCAAATCGAGGACACGAGAAGGCAGCGCTATCGGTCCTCCCTGGCGAAATTTAGATTTCGTCCGGTGCCATTCGTGCATCCGGCTCGAGTCAACATGACGGCTGAGTTGAGCAGAAACTGGCAAGACCTTTGACATTGCGAGGTGAGTTTTTTCCACCCTTGGCTTCAGCTGGCTTCAATCGGGATAGGCATCAAAAGCAAACTTATTGGGAATTAACAAACAACTTATTAGGGATGAAAAAGCAACCTTGTTAGTGTTGGGCATCACAAAAGTTCTCAAAGCAACTGCGTAGAAGGACGGAAGGAGGGAAGGAAGGAAGGAAGGAAGGAAGGGAGGGAGGGAGGGAGGGAGGGAGGGACGGACGGACGGACGGACGGACGGACGGACGGAAGGAAGGAAGGAAGGAGGGAAGGGAAGGGAAGGGAAGGGAAGGGAAGGGAAGGGAAGGGAAGGGAAGGGAAGGGAAGGGAAGGGAAGGAAGGAAGGAAGGAAGGAAGGAAGGCCTTTAAAAAAACAGAGCGTTGTATAGTTCTTACCTGGCTGATGCCGTTGTTTGTGCTTGCTTACGGGGATGGGGGCGCGGGCTGCGCCAAAAAATATTATTTCAATCAATCAATAAAAACTTCTTAGGCATCAAAAAGGCACTTTTGTTGGGCACCATTTTGCAGTGGAGATTGCTAGACCCACAAACCTCTACAAATGGTGGACGCGTGACCGGCACATGCTCGGAACATTGGAGTTGGACTCCCCACCATGTTTTGAGCAGCCAAATGGTGCGTTTAGGATTGGTGTAGGATGAGTTTGGGGTGGGTCCCACCCCACACCCACCTTGCATCCACCCCAAACCATAAAGCCCATCCGAAACCCAACCGAAACCCACGCCCCCGCCCAAAACCCAAAGCCGACCCCGAGCCAAACAAACCCCAACCCAACCCACAGTAAGTGCCCCCCATGCCTGATCAGGTTTTGTTGGATGCCGCAGTTTCCAGTTGTTTACAGTGTTTTTCAGCAACATGGTGCCCAAACAAGTTTTCTTTTGATGCCTAATACTTGTTTCTTGATCTTTGGATATAAGTTTTTGCTTGATGCTGAATAAGTTCTTTTCGCTGCCTCACCCGCTTTTCAATCCGCGCGCCGTTCATTCTGGCATAATGTGCGCCAGAAAAAAAAAAGAGCAAAGGCTGGCTGCACGCCATGTGCGCCAGGTCTTCAGGGAGTCCAACGCCGCCACCGCGGCACCTAAGCTGAGAGGGGAAGTTAGGGGGACACAGACCAGAGGCCGGGCGTTCGGCCCGAGCGGAACTCGTTTTGCCCAGTGGGGCATCTGGAATGGTCCTGCCATTTCTCATTTAGACGTTCGAATGTGAAGACATGCACCTGCCTGCCTGCCTGCCAAGATCCGGGAGCTGCAGAAGGACCTGCTGGTGGCGAGGTGTGAAGGTGCTGGGTGGGTGTGGTTGCTTGGGCAACTGGGGCTTCAAGGTGTTTTGCCCATAGGAGCAAGTTGCAAGCATGCCAAACGCCTTCGTTTGGGGTTCACTGCACCTCTTCGGCTCGCACCGCCTTGACGTCGCTCAGGTGCGCTGTCGATCAAGGCTCGGGTGCTTGGGGAGCCATTCGTCAGTGCTACGCCCTCCTGCAACAGTATATCAATTTGTTTGCTCTTTAAATGCGTGCGCTTAAAGCCAGCGAGAGGCACACTTTCAGGGTACACAATGTGCGTTTGGTGCACGCCAATTCGGACCAGGACAGCTGTGGCGAGGTCTCGATTCTGAGTGCAGATCGGCGAAGGAGCTCAGAAGCTGCGAGGGAATCGTGCTCAATTGCTCACTTTTCTTTGAGCAAGTGGGTGGCTCTTTTTATGACGGTACCCCTTTTTGCTGGGTTTTAAGGGGAAGCCAAAAGGAAACTGACATCCAATTTTGGCGGGTTTCCCAGAAAAGACACACCAGTGGTTGACAAGCTCCGGAGCATTTTTCCGGAGTGTTTTCTGCTGACCCAGCTGCAGTGACGTGCATGCAGCTTGCGCCCAAGCGTCGAACTTGCAATTGCCCATAGAACACGTCTGCCAAAGCAAATGAGGTTCAAGTTTGTGATCTGGACAAAAGGCATCGTTGCATCGTTTTTGCTGGGCTCCCAGCCAGCTCATCCACCAAGAAGCTGTTGCCACTCCAGCCAGGATCTACTCAGCACTCGCTCCCAGCGTCAATGGCGGGCCTGCTCCTAAGGCGCTGCATGCTCCGATGGCTTGTCAAACAGTGTAGCGCGCGTAACATGTGCTTTGGGCAGTCATTTTCATGGCATTGGATCTTAAAATCATATCCCCGGCAGTAGTTTCCTTTGGGCCGAAGAGGCGGCAGAGGCCCAGGAGGAGACAGCGGACGAGAAAGTCCGAGACAGAGATCGACGGACGCGGAACGTGGAGCCAGCGAGAAATTCGAAGTGGAAGTACGAGGTGATGCGTCGGCTATACTCGCCGTTTTCTGTCCGAAGGCCGCGAGGACGAACTGGCCGCGAGGAGGAACTGGACGTGCCAGAAGTCCGTTCGCGTGGTCGGTCCTGTGGTGCAGCCAAAGCTTCTGGCCGCCATATCTATACATCCGCATCCGATTGACAGGTGCAGCAGAACACCGTTTCAAATGTATTTCATTTCACACACGACGACGAGCAGGCCCTCAAAAATTGAATCATGTGATTGCAGTGTGAGGCCGCCCAATACTTTTGAAGCAGCGTGCGCATGTCTGAGCCAAAACTGCAGCAACTCAGGCACAATCGCAGCGGTGACGCAGGTGCGCTGCTCGGAGCTCCCCCGATGGTTCGTGAAGACTCGGGCATGTTTTGCAGAAGGCACAGGTCTTTCCAGGTACCGTGCTTTAGGATAGGCGGTTTCCTAGTCACCGCATGCACGTGGCCGGTTTTCCTTGTTTGGTGGCTGCTGGGCCCCACAGGCCAGACGCCAGAGAGCCGTACTGAGGCGGGCTTGGGCCAGGGGCGAGCTTGGTTTCGAAATCAACACAAATGAACCATTACATAGATTTGCGCTGTTTGGGCTCCGAAATTGCCCTTTTGCACAATTCTTGGGCTGGGGGGGGCGGGACTCCATTTGGACGAGGACTGTAGCGGAATCCCACAGTTATCCTAATGTACCCTATTAATCAATACGTTCTGCCCCCAGGCAAATACTCATTTTGGGGCAACCCAACTGCGTGGGAAGCTTCAGGCTCGGAAGCGGCTCTTGGCAGCAGGGAGCTCAGAGTTGCCCCGTTTTCCGCTCGCGAGGGCTTGGTGGCGAAGCCACTCAATTTGAATGTGGATCTGAGCTTCTGAAAGTGGCTGCGTTTGAGGGCACATTTGTGCCAGTCATCAGGCCATTTCATAAAAGCATGTGAGCCCGTTTTCCGTTTGGCCGAAGGGGCTTCAAGGAGTGCCTGGCTCTCAGGAGGCGGAAGAGGAGTTCAGGGCTTTGCTGGAAGAGCAGCAGCCTCGGGCTACGGCAAAGCTGCAGGGTCGACCTCGCCCATGGCCCCACGCACAAAACGTACAAGGGTGCGCAGTGCGTGTCACCATGCGTTTGAAGGCCTGCCAAGAAGGAGGAGGAGGCTGGCAATGCCCGATGTATTGCATTGCCAGCCACTGCTGAAGCAGCCGATTCTTCTGGTCGAATTACCGACAGGAACCCGCCAGGCAGAGTTGTTGGTTTGATTGCAGTAGAAGGGATTATTTAGAATGGAGTAATGGCTGCAAAACGGCTTTGGACAGCAGGAGGACTCAACTCCCAAGTGCGAATGCTTTATGCGGGCGCGACACAATTGTGGTGCAAAGGGTCGCAACAACATGCAGCAGTGGGCACCCCGCAGGCTTTCACTGAGCCATTGGGAAGGTCACGGAGTCAGTCTGATATGATGCCTTGCAGAGATACGTTGCAAACAGTCACACCATAGTTTCCAGCGGTACTTGACCGCTTGCAAGTGTGGTTGAGGTCTTGCTACAGCCCCTCGTATTGAGTTCATGATGGGGTTTCATTTGGGGTTATGTTAGTGGCTTTAACTATGGGTGCAATGTGGAGAGTTTGCTTGAACCTGCCGAAGTGCAAAATGACATGTTGCGACCGAAGGTATTTTGGATGCCGTTTCCAATTCTCAAATGCCAGCCAAAGTTGTCACGCATAACATTTTCACATGTTATTTCCGCAGTGTGTGGGAAATCACATGGCTTTGGCGTCCCGCAGAGCGATAACATGGCCAACTAAATGTTATTCAATTCTTTAGAAAGCAAGGCTTCGCGCTTCCTGCGCCCAAAAATGGATTGAAACTCTTGCAACACAGGGGTGTGTCTTTGTGAGGGTACCCCCTTTTCGGTGTGGTTCAAAAGGACACCAAGAGGAAACCAGCTTTTTTTGGAGGGTTCCCTTTTGAGAAAAACCCACATGGGCTTGGCATCAGGAACAGTTGCACATGGTGCTCCCCCAACGCCCATCTCCGGTGTGTTCTGCAGGCTGAGCATCCTTAGAAGCCTTCTTGTGAATGCACAGACCAGGGTTTCCTGGGTGGTGCTTGTCTGCAAGGAAACATGTTCAACATGTGTACTGTCCAGCGAATAACCCACTGGCACATGTGGCATTTTCTTTAAGACTGTTTTTGGGTATGGAAAGGGCCCTTCTGGATGACTATTTGCAGTCAATTGGATTGGGGGCTAAGATGGGCCACGTGTGCCAAATCAGATGGTCGATATATTGAAGACCGAAGCCAAGATGCTAGCATGGATGTTGGCATGGCCACAAGAAATCCAAGTCACTGAGAAGCAACATTAGCTTGAACTGGTACGGACAGTGGTACCAGGGAGAACAGCAGAGCACCCAATTCACTGTTGATAGGCCAAGGGATGTTTTGCTTCGATGATGACATGAACATACTTAGCAAATGTTGGGCGCAGGCCGACCATCCTTGGAGACCTCCTTCCAGTCCAAAAGTACCTGGCTCAGAGCAGGGTCGAGATGAGATGTAGTGTTCCTGTCACCTGTGCCATGTGGTTTGATTTCCTGTTTGTTTTCAACATGGCGTCATGTTGTGTTGTTGAAGACTGGTTTTGGGAAGGGAAAGGGCCTGCTGGACGACTGTTTGCAGTAGATGGGCTGCATGTGCCGAATCAGCTGGTCGACATAGCTAGCATCGATGTTGGCACTCTTGCGAGAAATTCAAGTGTCTGAGAAGCAAGATAGCAAGGGACCATGTTGCCAGAGAGAACAAAGCATCACACAAATGACTGTCGGCAATCCAAAAGATGGCTTGCTTGAAAGACGACATGACTTAGCACGTACTGGGCGCAGGTCGACCATCCTTGGAAGCCTCCTTCCAGTGCGAAAGCAGCCGGCTCAGAGCAGGATCCTGGCGCACATGTGGCATTTTCCGTTCTTTAAGACTGTTTTTGGGCATGGAAAGGGCTTTTCTGGATGACTATTTGCAGTCAATTGGATTGGGGGCTAAGATGGGCCACGTGTGCCAAATCAGATGGTCGATATATTGAAGACCGAAGCCAAGATGCTAGCATGGATGTTGGCGATGATGACATGAACATACTTAGCAAATGTTGGGCGCAGGCCGACCATCCTTGGAGACCTCCTTCCAGTCCAAAAGTACCTGGCTCAGAGCAGGGTCGAGATGAGATGTAGTGTTCCTGTCACCTGTGCCATGTGGTTTGATTTCCTGTTTGTTTTCAACATGGCGTCATGTTGTGTTGTTGAAGACTGGTTTTGGGAAGGGAAAGGGCCTGCTGGACGACTGTTTGCAGTAGATGGGCTGCATGTGCCGAATCAGCTGGTCGACATAGCTAGCATCGATGTTGGCACTCTTGCGAGAAATTCAAGTGTCTGAGAAGCAAGATTTGCTTGAATCGGTACGGGCAATTATATCCAAGCGAGCGAGCGAGCGAGCGAGAGAGAGAGAGAGAGCGGGGAGATAATCCAGGACATGGCTCGTGTGGGTGGCGATTCATTCATTGCCGTGCGCCGGATGTTGACAAGCTTTGCAAGTCTTTCGGCACATCAAAACATTGAGAGAGGATCCCCTAAATTGCTTTTGAAGACCCATGCGTCAAAGCTCGGGTCTGCAACGGGGCTGCTGCCATTGGCAAGAAGCCATTCAGGTGTCTCGCAATGCAGGCGACTATGTTTTATACATGTATATATATATATATACATATCACATATATATATATATATATATATATTTATATACACATATATTTGTATACGTATATACACATCGGGGACACTTTGGTGGACACAATTTGGTGTTTGAGGTGACTTCATAGCCACATGAAGATGATTTGTTTGTGGTTGCTTTCCCAACCCATTCAAGAGCTCACACGTGGCACTAACAAACTCGCCAAGCGCTTTGGGCGTTGTGGCAATTATCGACTGAGGCCGACCAGCCTTGGCGGCCTCCACCGCAACTGGGTCCAGAAATGGTCGGATTGCGTTTGGGTACAGTGTTTGAAGCGGTAACCGCTTTGAGCCTCTCCTTTTCAAAAAATATATTGCATCTGACTCTGTTCAATGTCAACCCGCTGGCCGAGAATTTCAGTCGGGATGGCGCCTAGCTATTCCTTGCTGATTTGGCTTGCCGTTTGGCTGTATGGCCGTTCCATGGTGCGGAGTGGCATTCCCGAGTGCCACGGCGCGGCTTGCCCTGTGCAGGCTGCGTCACTTTTGGCTCTCAAAGAGGATGTGCAGCCTGCGCAGCTGGACACGAACGAGTTGGCACGCAGCATGGCCAACAACAGCAACACTGTCAACAGCAGTGTCAATGGCAGTGTGAACCAGACCTTGGAGGATTTGCTTGCCCAAAACCTCAAGAAAGAATTGGGAGGGGCGAGTGTGCCAAATCCGGAAGACAGCTCCCATGGTGCGCACAGCTTGGGCAGCCTGGGTGCAAACTTGGAGTTTGTCATGCTAAAACTTGCGGAGTTGGAGACCATCGTCGGGCTCCAGCAAGAGGAAATCCACAAGCAAGAGGAAATCCACAGCTTGCAGGGCAGACTTAAAGCGGAGACTCCTGCGACACCCAACCCATCTCCTTCCTTGAGCCATCAGCAACGTGACGCCGCTCAAGAAGCCCGCAAGGTCTTCGGAAAGGCGTGGAAAAAAAAACACCAGCAGCGAGAAAGACGGCGATTTGTGACTCCGATCCATTCGCGGCGTGACAAGAACACCGCCAACGTGTCAAAGCCCACCTTGACAAGCCGCAAAGAAGAACTTGTGCAACGGTCAAGCCGCGAGGCTGCTGGAGAGACTTCATTGGACAATTCCGTATCCAGCAAGATTATCGATGATGTGGTGGATGGTGTAGAGGGAGCAGCTGGCGCTGTGGCCAGACCAGAGGAGACGAGAAGGGTGACGATGAGAGCGCGATAAACTTCAAGATCCACGAAAATGAGGGTAGCTATGCCACGAAACTCAATACTCAGTCTGATGGCAAAGAACCCTTTAGGCAAAACGCAACGAACATCTTTTGAAGCGACAGAAGAAACTCACTCCCCCCACGTCGATGCGGCAGCGTTTGTTGGGGGCCGGGCTTTTGACTTGATGCCTGCGCCACTGGCGAAAGTGGACACCCAAATCTGCTGGCCTGACAAGCAGCCTGGTGGAGTCGACTTGAGCGTCTTGCGCCGTGTCATCAGCTCGGGTGGCGTTGCTCTTCAGCCGAACCTTGCGGCTCACAAAGCGTTTTGGCAGTGGGCGGACTTTGTCGACCACGGTACTCACGAAAGCTGGCGCAACGCTTTGGGCGTTGCGTCGCAGAGAACAGCGAGCTGAAGCTGAGCAAGGCGAGCAAGGCGAGCAAGGCGAGCAAGGCGAGCAAGGCGAGCAAGGCGAGCAAGGCGAGCAAGGCGAGCAAGGCGAGCAAGTCCGCGGTCCTCCACTTGGAGTGGAAAGAGGAGGAGGCCCTTTACTTGGCATCGTTGGTCTATGGCAAAATGTCACTTCGGAGCGACGAGGCGAAGAAGCTGCACGCCGTATTTTGAGGAGCTTGCAAAGCTCTCAAGGGCGTATTGGTAAATTTGCGCTCTTTAGTTACTTGGAATCGCCATGGTTCATTGCTTTTGTATTGTACATGTCTTTGTTGCCAGTATCCTTTTTTCTTATCTGGAGTGTTTCCAACAAGCTACCCCTTAGGGTTGCTAAAGGGGACCCCAATATGAGAAACACCCACAGAGGCTTCACCAATCCTGCCTTGGTCAGCTTCACCACCAGGGGCTTCAGATAAGCGTTGGCCAGTTTAAAGAACTCGGGGATTTTGCGCTGCCGAAACGAACCTATCCACCATGCTTGCACTGGTTCTTTTTGCTCGAGTTGATGCTCTCACTTGAAGAACAGGCATTATACTCCACAGCGGCTGGTTCGTATTGCACTTGCGAATATTCTCGAACCTTTCCTGGCAAAAGACCAAGGAGGTGGATGTTGCCGCACTGGTCCTTGTTGTCTGATCTGGAAGAGAACTCTCGCAAGTCAAACCTAGCGTTGAGTGAAACATGATGGTGAAGCCAGACCATGACGCAGGAGATCCTTAAAGGGGGGGTGATAAATTGCAACCTGGTGACTTTGGAGCTATAGCTCCTTGGTTTCTAGGTTGACCTCTTCGCTGTTTCCCATACCTTGTGAAGCTTCCAAGCCCAGCAGCGAGCGAGACATTGGTTTGTTTGCTGCACGCATGGCATGGGTTTTGGCCATCAGGATCACCCTCTTGAATTTGGAGCCAAAGCCCTTGCTTCCCTCCGGAAATGCCACAGTCTCGTGCCCGGGTGCTGGGAAGCGCGGAGGGGGAGAGCAAGAAGCCAACTGGGGCCATTGCTTTGACGCGCAGAGATGGTGTATACCTGCATGACGGGCTTGGGATAACCTCTTCAACCTGGAGTGCGGGGGCATGAGTTGGCGGACTGGCGGGGCAGCCTCAATGCCGCTAGCTCCGCGCGCTGCCCCTCAGCGAACACGGCCATGGTCGTTCCAGAGTGAGGTAAACAACCTGCAAGGCATCTGCGCTTTGCTGCCAACTGATACGGAGAAGTTGGCGAACTCGGGATGATGCTGGAAGATGCGAGGTGCTGCAAAGCGAGAAATACCCAACCGACTTGGGGTCCAATGTGGATTGGAGCTTTGATACCGCCTCCGCTGTGAAGCGCACGCCCTTTGTCACTTGGAGAGGAATGAGGACAATGAGTTTTATGGCATTGGCGCTGCCAGCTGACATCAGCTGCCAGCAATTTGTCAAGTCGATGACAGCAAGTAGGGTCGCCGCATGAATGTGAGCCAGTTAGACGCGTTCGCAGCGCGCGTTCCATGTGTGTCACGCCCCCTGAGAGCAAACGCACTCATGACTACACAGGGAGGCAGAACACTAGAAGAAAAAAAAAAAGGCGAGCTCTACAAAACTAGGTCAACCAACAAAACGCCGGAACCGGCTTAATTCCTGACAAAACAGAAGGTTCTGGACTCTGCTGGAACACTCTCATCTCAGGCACCCCGCGGCACAAGTGGCGCCACGGACGCCGCCGCAGCCGGCCGCGCCACACACACCGCCGGACGCGGCGCCTGTGCGGCTCCCTCGCCGGGAGGCGATGGGGCAATGGGGTGCCAGGCAATGCACAAAGAGACAATCTGCTTGTAGATGAGATTGTGAGCTTGTCTTGAAGTTTGTTGTTTGTCCTCCCTGTGGCACGCAAGCAAGAGGGGCCTTGGCATTCATTGAGACGCCGAGCAAGCTGCAGGCCAGTCGATCCAGATCAGGCGGCTTCGGGTTCGAGGGTTCCCTTTTGCACTTGGAAGATTTGGGACTGAGACTGGGCGTCGAGACGATCGACCTTTCGTCGACGCGATCGGCCTTTGGTGAGCCTTTGGTTTTCTGAGAAAGCATACAGAGATTCGGCGCACTGCAAGTGCAGTTGAGAGGCAGGCGTGTGTATCAAGGTCATTGAACAAGTTTTGGCAAACCGTCCTCAAAAAGGCAAACGTATAGAGCTCTGAGCAACAAAGCCTTTGAGCTGTCATAGCCACTGTACCTTGCACCATTCCACGCGGGCATGTTTTATGATCTGCTCCTTTTTGCACTCCATGCGGATTGTGGAGAGAAAGGGCTTTGTGGTGGTGGTGGTGGTGGTGGTGGTGGTGCTGGCGGCGGCAGTGGTGGCTGTGATGGTGCTGGGGCTGGTGCGTGTGTTGATGGTGCTGGTGCTGGTGGTGCTGGTGTTGGTGGTGCTGGTGGTGCTGGTGTTGGTGGTGCTGGTGGTGCTGGTGGTGCTGGTGTTGGTGCTGGTGTGCTGGTGTGCTGGTGTGCTGGTGTGCTGGTGTGCTGGTGTGCTGGTGTGCTGGTGTGCTGGTGTGCTGGTGTGCTGGTGTGCTGGTGTGCTGTGCTGGTGTGCTGGTGCTGGCGGTGGCGGTATGCTGCTGCTGCTGCTGCTGCTGCTGCTGCTGCTGCTGTTGGTGTTTCTCTTGCTACTGATTCCGCTGCTGTAGCTGGTGCTGCAGAGTATATGCGGGAATATGCCAGATCTCGTTCGGATCTCGTTTTGATGTCGTTCTGATCACGTTCCAGACCTACTTGGGTTTTTCGTTTTTCTAGCGTGCCGCGGTTCCATGCTGAGGCGTAGCATCATTGTCATTGGTGATTCCAGGCGGGAATGGGTTTCTCAGCCCCAGAAACAGACACCCACAGGAACTCCAAGGCTTGATGTGACTTCATTGTTACAGACAGCGCTCTTTTTTAAGGCATCCACTGTAGTTCCATGGGGGAAGAAGTTGAGGTGACTTTTTTGGGGGGTTGATGCATGACGTTCCATGCGGAGGAACATGTGGGAGGAAAGTTGATTTGACTTTCAGTGTCGACTGTAGCGCAGGCAAAGTGGCTGGGTCGAACAATAAGTCCTTACAGAAGGTGCAGTTCTTGGCAAATGGATTGGTCAAGGAGACCTGAAGGGAGCCTTGCTATCGTGGGCTGAGAAGCTTAGCTTCAGTGTTGTCCTGGCCTGCGCATGAGACTTGGATTGTGGACTGACATTCCTCCCAAGCCAGCGAGGACGGTTCGTGTGTGGCCCCCAAATGGGTTACAGCATTCAAAACAAGACATGCGCTGAGTCTTGTATATTTTGAGATTTGGGTGTTTTGTTTGAGGGAACCCCCTTCAGGAGAACCAAAAGAAACCACTCATTTTTGGAGTAAAGCTGCCCCGTGTGCATCTAATGCTTGAACGACAAAGGTCTTTGTCCCGTTTCCATTGGCGGTCAAACCGCTCGCCCTCAGGGCGCCGGCGCCGGCGCCGCGATGAAGGTCTGGTTGCTGAAATATCACGTGCTCCAGAGAATACGGCACTCAAATCGAGCAGACAGTTAAGCCTTTGCAACTTCGCATCAACTACATGACTGGGATACGGACTGTGAGGTTCATTTTTAGATGAATTGGCAAAACTGGATCTAACATGCCACTTGGTCGACAACGCGCCGCTGTGTGCTTGGGGCATTTGGAATGAATCAGATTTGCAAATCGGCAACACAAACATAGCCGCAGTATGACATCTTCTGCCGTTTTATTGAGTTTGTGCACGTTATTCGCTCAGCAGGCAGAAAGTCACATCGACTCGAAACTTTCCAACCTTCCATTGCCATCTCAATGACCAGGCACGGTCTTTGAAAAAGGACTCTGCATTGTGGGTTTGACGGGTACGTCAACCAGCAGTGCTCTCAGTGGCCCGGTGCAAACGAAAAGAGACAACGCACAAACCAGAACAAACCGGATGACAAAAACAGAAAAGAGTTCGCACCAAGGGTCATGACAAGACTCTCAACCATCTGCCAGAAGCAACATTGTTGCGCCGAGCAAGTACCGGAAATGAAGGAAGCAACTCTGAGTTGCAGGATCCAGAATGCCGACCGATGCAATCAATGTTCCAGGTCATCTCTGGCTGACTTGCCTGCGAGAGTGTATCAGAACACCTCTTGGTTGGTTGACCCTGACGCCGAAGCCAATCCAAGCTTCATTCCGCACAGACGGAGACCGGGGGGGCATTTCGACTTTGGGGCCAGGCGAACGCCGCTCACGGTCCCGGCGGAGAGACAGGCTTCGAGCTTTGACCTGGGTGGAGTGGCTAAACATGAGCTGGAACTTGAAATTTTCACAGAGGGGCAACGTTGTGCAGGCGTAAATGCGTGAGCCAGGCCGCGGCCCGTCAAGTTGTGTGCGCACATCTACTGTCTGCACTCACGCACGCGGCGTGGCTGCGCCAGGGAGAGTCGGAATGAGAAGGTGGCAGCTCCGCGGGAGGCTCAGAGGGGCTCAGCATGGTTGTCACCGTTCCCCACAGATCCGTGTTAGGATAGAACATGTGGAATGTGTTTCGTGTAATTGAGCTAAATTGCAGGCTTATCACCCACACGAATAGTTGGCTGGCCTCTCTCCCGGCACTTACTGAAAGATGCCCACATTCCAGAAAGTGAAGCAATCAACCAATCAAACGGTGATTGCCGCGGAGTCGGGAAGGTTTTCTTATCAGGCACAACGCTGTTTTTTCCAATCACCGCAAACAGACTTAGGCAGTGTCATTGCTGGTGTCCAGCCCTTGCTAGCCCATGTTTGATTTGACAACAACTATCTCCTTATTCTGGTTGAATCGCGGGATGGGTTGAACGTTTTTGTTGATCCCCATGTAGGATTCTGATGAAGACAACTCGCTAGAGCTGATGAGCAGGAAGCATCGGCTGAAGCAGCGAGTCATCCGTTCTGTCTGCTGCACTTCAGAGGGCCGTGCAAGCAGGTCCCGTGGGTACACGCATGGCTCACGGCAGGCCGCAAAAGCACATGAACACGTTTATCTACACATGTGCATACATATATACATATTATATATATATATGTATATATTATATGTATGCGCTCTCTAGACAGGTTGAACTTGAAATTCTGCGCTTCAAACATGGCCGCTCCCGCGCTTTGCCGTGACGCACTGACCTATGTGGCATTCCTCCTGGTGGGCACCTCCTGTGGCTGGTTCGTAGTCAACGGATTGTACAACTTGATTGCCAATGAGCCTGAAGTTGCAAAAGGCGGCCAGATGATGGGTGAGGTAAACCTGGTTGGGTCCTACGTTAGCCTGGCCCTGTGTGGCGGCTTCGCGTTGTACACCCTCTGCAAGAGCCTCTCGCAGCGCACAGAAGTGTGGGCCAGCTCCTTGCTAATCCTCATCAGCTTGCTGAGCCTGGTACTGTTGGCCTGTGCCTGGAATGTGTCACCTCCGGGCTATCCTGTGGTGCTCATATGTGCTGCCACTGGCTCCATTGTGGGGAATGGTTCCATCCTGCTGCTCTTTCCGCTGATCTCCACATTTTACGGTGGATGGTTGGTGGCGCCAGTTCGGGCTGGCACGGACCTCTCCAGTATGATTTCAGCTCTGTTGGCAGAGACGCAAAGCTCTGATGGCACAACGCAGAGATATCCATCATGGCTCCTATTCGTGTTTTACTCTTTGATCAGCTGCATGGGGTTAGTGGCTTGGGCGATGATCCTGAAACATGGAATTGGACTGAGAGACCTTCCTGGCAAGGGTGACAAGTCCTGTGCCGAAGACATTGCTGATGAAGCAGGTTCCGACTCCAGTGCTACGAATACCACCAGCAAGGAGACAGATTGGCCACGAGAGCAACCTCTCATGGCGAGTTTAGCATGCCCATGGGAGCTTCGCCTTGTGATTTCAGCAGCCGTTGTGACCCAGATCACCCAATGGGCAATTTCACCAAATCTGGGTGAGATCGGTGCTGAAATGTGCGATCCAGAATCCTGCGACGGCCACACTGGACGCTTCATTTGGCGCACATCTCTGACACTCTCGCAGATACTGGTGCCGTTTGGTTCTCTACTGTCCTCCATTTCAGCATGCCCGCGCTGGATTTTCTACATCCTCTGCCTGCTGCAGTATGTGTCATGCCTATTGGTTACCCTTGCATCACTAGGAGTTTGGCGCAACATGTGGATGAGTCAGGTCGGTCAGGCCCTCTTCATCGCATCCTTTGCGTTTTGCGGCGCTTCGGAAGGATACTTGATCACCATGGCTTACAGATACATCGGCGACGCCAGCAACGTGCCTTTGGACAAGAGACACAGTGCGGGCGCTTTGCTCGGAGTCGGAACCGTTGCCACTGTTGGTGTGTGCGGCCTGATTTTGTCGAGTGCTGTGGCTGGAAAACATATCACTTGTGTAGCTCCTTAACTTGCAGGAACTCTGGAACTGCGATTCACTTTGATTCCGCAGATCTAGATCCATATTTTGCAAGTCGAACTTGGTTTGCTTCCCTGGCAGATCTGTAAAGCGTGCTGGGAAGTGAGTGCTCTATGGCAAATGCTAGTTTGTAAAGCACCAGCTGCGAAGCCTCCTTCAGCGACAATGATTTATCCACTTTTCCGCAAACAGCATTTGTTTGTTCCAACTTACGTGCGGCGGAAGAGGAAAAACATGATATATGTATATATGCATATATGTATACACGTACGTGCAATGTATATTACTGAACATGTATGTATGTATGTAATGTAATGTAATGTAATGTAATGTAATGTAATGTATGTATGTATGTAATGTAATGTAATGTAATGTAATGTAATGTAATGTAATGTAATGTAATGTAATGTAATGTAATGTAATGTAATGTAATGTAATGTAATGTAATGTAATGTAATGTAATGTAATGTAATGTAATGTAATGTAATGTAATGTAATGTATGTATGTAATGTAATGTAATGTAATGTAATGTAATGTAATGTAATGTAATGTAATGTATGTAATGTAATGTAATGTAATGTAATGTATGTAATGTAATGTATGTATGTATGTATGTATGTATGTATGTATGTATGTATGTATGTAATGTAATGTAATGTATGTATGTATGTATGTATGTATGTATGTATGTATGTATATGTATGTATGTATGTATGTATGTATGTATGTATGTATGTATGTATGTATGTATGTATGTATGTATGTATGTATGTATGTATGTATGTATGTATGTATGTATGTATGTATGTATGTATGTATGTATGTATGTATGTATGTATGTATGTATGTATGTATGTATGTAATGTATGTATGTATGTATGTATGTATGTATGTATGTATGTATGTATGTATGTATGTATGTATGTATGTATGTATGTATGTATGTATGTATGTATGTATGTATGTATGTATGTATGTATGTATGTATGTAATGTATGTATGTATGTATGTATGTATGTATGTATGTATGTATGTATGTATGTATGTAATGTAATGTAATGTAATGTAATGTAATGTAATGTAATGTAATGTATGTAATGTATGTATGTATGTATGTATGTATGTATGTATGTATGTATGTATGTATGTATGTATGTATGTATGTATGTATGTATGTATGTATGTATGTATGTATGTATGTATGTATGTATGTATGTATGTATGTATGTATGTATGTAATGTATGTATGTATGTAATGTATGTATGTATGTATGTATGTATGTATGTATGTATGTATGTATGTATGTATGTATGTATGTATGTATGTATGTATGTATGTATGTATGTATGTATGTATGTATGTATGTATGTATGTATGTATGTATGTATGTATGTATGTATGTATGTATGTATGTATGTATGTATGTATGTATGTATGTATGTATGTATGTATGTATGTATGTATGTATGTATGTATGTATGTATGTATGTATGTATGTATGTATGTATGTATGTATGTATGTATGTATGTATGTATGTATGTATGTATGTATGTATGTATGTAATGTATGTATGTATGTATGTATGTATGTATGTATGTATGTATGTATGTATGTATGTATGTATGTATGTATGTATGTATGTATGTATGTATGTATGTATGTATGTATGTATGTATGAATGTATGTATGTATGTATGTATGTATGTATGTATGTATGTATGTATGTATGTATGTATGTATGTATGTATGTATGTATGTATGTATGTATGTAATGTATGTATGTATGTATGTATGTATGTATGTATGTATGTATGTATGTATGTATGTATGTATGTATGTATGTATGTATGTATGTATGTATGTATGTATGTATGTATGTATGTATGTAATGTAATGTAATGTAATGTAATGTAATGTAATGTAATGTAATGTAATGTAATGTAATGTAATGTAATGTATGTATGTATGTAATGTATGTATGTATGTATGTATGTATGTAATGTAATGTAATGTAATGTAATGTAATGTAATGTAATGTAATGTAATGTAATGTAATGTAATGTAATGTAATGTAATGTAATGTAATGTAATGTAATGTAATGTAATGTAATGTAATGTAATGTAATGTAATGTAATGTAATGTAATGTATGTATGTATGTATGTATGTATGTATGTATGTATGTATGTATGTATGTATGTATGTATGTATGTATGTATGTATGTATGTATGTATGTATGTATGTATGTATGTATGTATGTATGTATGTATGTATGTATGTATGTATGTATGTATGTATGTATGTATGTAATGTATGTATGTATGTATGTATGTATGTATGTATGTATGTATGTATGTATGTAATGTAATGTATGTATGTAATGTAATGTAATGTAATGTAATGTAATGTAATGTAATGTAATGTAATGTAATGTAATGTAATGTAATGTAATGTAATGTAATGTAATGTAATGTAATGTAATGTAATGTAATGTAATGTAATGTAATGTAATGTAATGTAATGTAATGTAATGTAATGCAATGTAATGTAATGTAATGTATGTAATGTATGTATGTATGTATATATGAACACGCACACACAAGCACGCACACGCACACGCAGACACACGAATATGCACACCCATTGCGAGGGGCCTCAGCAGATTGGTCTTGCCACGGCAGCCCTTGGTCTGTCTCTGGGACGAGGCCATTTGAGATCTGAGGCTGCTTCAGCGATTGGATGGTAGGTCAACTTCAGGGTTCCGGCACGCCGGCACCGTGTTCAGTGTCAGTGCGTCTTGTGCATTGTCACTTTGGCAAGTGTGTGTGTGTGTGCCTGCACCCCCTGTTCCTAACAGGCTTTTCGGTGTCCTTTTTCTTCTTTCTTCTTTCGTCTTTCGGAGTCGGACGCCACCTTCTTGTATGATCAGACGTGAAGTACCTGGGCTGGTTGATGGCGTTCCGGATGAGGATAGTCAGCCCAGCGAAAGATGATCTGACTTGCTTGAAGCCGAAACTCCTTCGTTCCTCCGCAACGTTGAGGAAGAGACAGATTGCGATCCCCGCCACCGCTCTGCCGAAGGGATGCAAGGCGATCAGCTTATCGGCAGCGAGTGCATCAGTCTCTACGTCAATGGTGCCTGCATCACGGTCTGACGTTGGACCAGTTTCACGCCCTGATGACCTTCCTCAACACCCAGCACGAGCCACACGCCCGTCACGCCCGAAGACACCAGCTACTCACAAAACATCAGCTCAACATCATCCATCGCCACCTTCATCAAGATGTCGTGTGCCACAATGAAGATCGTGACAACCATCACCTGATTTTCTACTGTCCGTGCATCTACTTCCGAGGTACCCAACGCACTTGCACTTTCGAGCCTACAACCCTCAACACCCAGCAGGCTGACGCCATCATTCTCGAGGCAGTCCCAAAACGCATCCGCAAGAAGCGCAGGCCTATCGCAAGCAGAGCGCACAGCCAACCCGGTGTGCAAAGTCTCCCTCAAGCAGAAGAAGGGCTGGAAGTCGGGCCGGACCCTCATTGCATATCAGAAAGTGGTCCACTGGAGGCGACTCAAAGCGGTCGCCGTTCTTCTCGGCGAGCTCGCCAACGACACCTGGTCGGAGTCATGGGGATTGAGCCCCACCCCCACCATCTGGCGCAATATAAAACGCAACTTTGCCGAGACCGACGAAGATGTGGAACTTGTTTCGCAATGATGACTTGGTTGGCTTCTTCAACAGCAGGATCAACCTCGCCGAGCATAACGCTGAGATCATGTCACCGCAACCGAGTCTTCACCGGCAAGCAGTCGTACCATCGCACGCCCACGACCCAGATTATCCACTTGCAGCATTATGGATCGTCCAGCTTCAAGGCGATCGGCTCAGTTGTCACCAAGTCCATGGCACAGCCACAGGTTCTCGGCCATCCGGCGGACTTCTGCGGCTCTCCCATCGCCCAAGGTTCCTAGCAAGGTTTGTAGAGGGGCCCGCGGGCAAGAAACACGAGGAAGGCAAGGCTCAGGCGCGTGTTTTGTTCCAACCCAAAAGTGAAACAAGGGCTGCAGACTTGCTTGACTGTACCCTGCAGCTGAGTAGACGCGAGTAAGTTGATGTGTACTGCCTCTGCGGGATGCGGATATTTTGATGCGGTAGATGCTCTGGAGCGTGCGCTGGAGAGCAGGTTGCTGAGGCTGCCAGCTGTGTATGGTCCTCTCATGATTTGCCAAAGTCGTGTAGGAGCTTCGTAGTGTATAGCGCGGTCATTGACGTTGATATAGAAGCCCAAGAACTCGGAACTGCCCACCTGCTCAAGCGTTTGTGCCAAAGTTTGTCGAACTTTTGAAACTTGTCAACGTGGAAGTTGTACCATGTCATGTCATGTTTTTGTATGAGAAACGTATCCTGTGCTATGATATGGCTGGTTAGGTTATGCATGTTGCCCACCCCAGATGATGCCGGGGATGCCAGCTTTCTGGGCCTCAGCCGGGCCACAACCCAGAAGGCTGACATGGGGGCCCCAGAAAGAACAGCCCAAAAAGAGCAGCCCGCAAGCCAGCCCGGAAACGCAAATGCAACAAGCCACCGTAAATAGCAGAGTTTGTGGCTGGGGTCGCGCGCGCGCGCCAGAAGGCCCGAAAACCAACGGGAAAAAAGCAAGGACCGCGCAGCACGCGAGCCAGCCACAGCAAAAGCAAAACGGACAGAACAACAGCCCGCCGCTCAGCGCAGCAGGCTTTGACGATATTCACAGCGTTTTGAAGAGCGAGGGCCCAGCATCGCCGGCATGCCCCCCAGCGCTTGGCGCCAAAATGCGGACATGTTGGGTGGTTTCCTCTTCAACTCGGAGCCCTGGGTGGAGTACAGAGTCGACTGCGCTACTGGGAAGGAACAAGTCAAGATCTTCCCGTCGAAGCGCTGGATCCGGAGATTGACACGGATCCGCAGGCTATGCGCCACCCTCGCGACCTACCGCAACTGGGAATCCAATGGCTGGCAGGATGTTGCGGAGCCACGACGCAGATCTCGCCTTGATCCACCCCGGCGCCCCCCCTCGTCCTTTGGAGCCTGAGCCTTCAATGTCTACATGCTGCTCCTGGCATCTTGAAGCCACCACCGCTACCTCCTCCTCTTGATGCAATGGTGCGACCGCCTCTATCTTCCCGGTGAGCCAGTCAGTGACTGATGTGGATAAGATCTCACCTCTACCTGCTCCTTGGCGACCTGAGCGACTCTCACAACAGGACAAACCTCAGCAACACCGACCCTATGGGCCGTCCTCAAGTGAGTCCAACTGAGTGCAGCAGGCGGGCGCTAGATCTTCCCGGAGAGTTTGCCGTGCGCAGACGCTCAGTTGAGCAACGCCCATTGCAAGATGGAGGCGTGTCTTTCCTTTTTGTTCCTTTTTCTTCGTTTGTTCTTTCCCCCTTCGGGGTGTGTGTGTGTGTGCGCACCCCCTGTTCCTAAGGGGATTTTCGGTGTCCCTTCTCTTCTTGAGTCGGACGTCACTTCTTGCAGATCAGACTTGAAGTGCCTGGGCTGGTTGATGGCGTTCCGGATGAGGATTATCAGCCCAGCGAAAGATGATCTGACTTGCTTGAAGCCGAAACTCCATTGCCCTTGCGGAGACCTTCAAAGCTGGCACATGGGATGCGCCTCGCGGGCTCACTGTCTCCCATCAAGTGCGCGCATGTTCACCACAGGTATACAGTTTTGCTTTTCCAAATAAATGTCGCGTTGCGACTTTGAACTCAGAGTGACCCAGGTCAGGGCCGCCACCTGGCGCCTTTGAGGCAGGGGTCCGTGATGTGGTTACATCGCCCGTGCTTGTGCCTAGGCAAGCCGATTTGGTCACACATGACACGTGCGTACGCGTAACATTCACGCATCAATCTGCGTTTGCTTTGCGTGCTTCAAACCCCATCAAACTCACAGCCCGTGGTTATGCAGCCACTCGCGAGAGAGGGGATGGCGCAAAACCAGGGTGGCTTTGGTTGCTGTTGTTGCCTAGATTCCACTGCCGCTTGGGCTTTGAGATTTGGAGAGTTGTCCGGAGACTTGCTTCAGCGGTCCTCGCGCCGTCCGGGATCTCTGGAAAGTGAGGTTTGGTCACGTGATTTGCGCTTGCCAAGGGTTTTGTTGCTCCATTCGACTTGATAGATGAGGTGTCATTTGTTGCTGGGCGGATGCAGTTCTTCAGATCTTCACAGGGTTCAAAAGAGCGATGCCCTTTGTGTAATCGTTTCATCCGGATCTTGAGACAGGAAATAGGCTTGAGATAAAATGAGAACAGCGCTCTCTGACTTCCTTTCAACGCTTTTCCACTCGCTTTGTGCAAAGTGCCTCGGAAACGGCAAGAACACCCTCCACTCCAGTAGACTACTGGCCTGCAGGTCCCCGCATCTGCACCAAGTCCTCGACTTGCGAGCCAACCTAAGTCATGAGCGCGAAGCCGCTGCGCTTTCATATGTGGGTGTGTCCTTTTTAGTAAGGGGCCCTAGAATGTTGGGTTTCTTTGTGGTTTGCCTTTATATAACCGAGACCCAACAAAGGTACCCTCCAAATGGACACCCATATATATATATATATATACTTTAGAGCCTCCGGCTCAGTCCGCCGACATTGACCTCTTCTTCTCTTCCTGTTTCTGCGCTGCTCGTCTCTCACCTTCTCTTATCTTCCCTTCTCTTGGCTTCTTTTGTAATCGGACGAACATCTCCCTCCTCTCCCTCCCTCCGCTGCCTCCCTCCTCTCTCTGTGTCTCTTTCTTTCTTTGTCTCTCTGTCTCTCTGTCTCTCTCTCTCTCTCTTTCTCTCTCTCTCTTTCTCTCTTTCTCTCTTTCTCTCCTCTCCTCTCCTCTCCTCTCCTCTCCTCTCCTCTCCTCTCCTCTCCTCTCCTCTCCTCTCCTCTCCTCTCCTCTCCTCTCCTCTCCTCTCCTCCCCTCCCCTCTCCTCTCCTCTCCTCTCCTCTCCATCCTCTCCTCTCCAAGGCTTAACTCATCTGCATTCCCTCTACAAGTCACGCAAAAACACGGTGTTTTTCAATGGCCTCAGCAAAGGAAAGCACAAAACACCGCGTTTTCGATGTTTTCAGCAAAAGGAAGCGGCCGGCAGAGAGAGGTGGCAGGGGGATTCGAGCCTGGGGCCCCTGTTTCTCCAGACCCGCTCCCCGAAGACTATTTTTACCAGACCGTCATTGAACTGCCGCGCGGTACTTGGGGGAGGGGGGGGGGAACAAACCCTGCGCAACGTAATTGACGTGTCCCGGGGGGGGACTAAGGGGGGGTTATTTTTATCCTCTCTTAGGTATCCGACACGCCGAACAATGTCGGCGGATATATATATATATATATATATATATATATTAGGGCTTGCCTCTGTCAATAAATTGCATGCCTTCTTTACGCGGGCAAGGAGGGGCTGCACAGGCTTACCGACTCGGCAACATTTACCCTAATTTTGCGGAACGTTCACCCCCCATTTTGTTGGTTATTTACCCCCCAATTTTGTCGGTAGTTTACCCCCAATTTTTTGGTTATTTACCCCCAATCGTGTGGGTAATTTACCCCCCCAATTTTGTGGGTATGTACCCCAATTTGTGGGTAATTTACCCCCAATTTTGAGGTAATTTACCGCAAGTTTGGGAGTCGTTATTAACCCCCAATTTTGGAAATTGGGGGTAAATAACGAATCCAAAAATTGGGGTAAATCCTAGGTTTCCCAACGGTATACGAAGATTTACCCCCCAATTATTGGACTCGTTGTTAACCCCCAAATTTCCAAAGTTTGGGTTAATAACGACTCCCAAACTTGCGGTAAATTACCTCAAAATTGGGGGTACATTACCCACAAATTGGGGTACATACCCACAAAATTGGGGGTAAATTACCCACACGATTGGGGGCAAATAACCCACAAAAGTGGGGTTAAACTACCGACAAAATTGGGGGGTAACTAACCAACAAAATTGGGGGTAAATAACCAACAAAATTGGACAACATTGGGGGTAAATACCCCACAAAATTGGGGTGAAATTTGAGGTAAATTGGTGGTAAAGAGTTACTGCTACAAGCAAGGCTTAATATATATATATATATATATACACGAGTACGTGGTACAAACGACAGATACCAGAAGCTTTGTTTCGCATGTCGCCTTTGGGATCTATTTTTTTTCTCCAAGGGCTGTTTTTATATTATTACTATTATTTGGTTGTTGGCTGGCTTGCCGCATCCCGGGCATCACCAGCCTCACTTGCCGCGGGGTTGCTATTGGCTCTGATTGCGAGGCAGGTGGGAGTTGCTGGGGGCTGGTTTAAGCTAGGGAAGGTTTAGGCTGGCTTCGATCTTCAGGGTGGGTCTTGCCCCAAACCACCAAAAACTAGCCCAAAACTCACGCCACTACATCCCTAAAGCAACACTAAAGGCACCGCTGAACCAGCAGCACACCCAACACACATCAGCTCCAAGCCAACCCCAAATCCATCCAAAGTCAACCCTAAACCCGCCCAACAGCAGCTTGGATGTCAGCCATTCCGCCTAAGTCCAACCCCAAACCACCCCAAGACCGCAGCTTAAGCCACCCGTAACTTAAGCCAGCTTCCAGAAACTCCCAACTGGCTCCCAATCAGAGCCTATAGGCAAATCCCGGTTAAGTGAGGCTAGTGATGCTGGGGATGGGAAAACCAGCCCTAGGAAAAAGGCACCTCTGCCGACCCCTTTGCTCAGATAGACAGGAACATCTTGCAAAGTTTTCACAGAATGGCGTGTTGGTGGTTGTTCGGATTTATCGACACTCGATGCAAGCGTCAATGGCTTCCCTCCACCCGTGTCACAAGCCTTACAAACCTCGGTCTTCATTCACAGGGTGCATCGATTTCCCGAGGCCGCAGATTTCCCCGAGGCCGCAGCCTGCAGAGCCTGACCTGCTGGGTAGCGACCTCAGCCAATGTGGGGCCAGCCTCACGAGCTATGGGCTTTGTTGGCAGTTCGGGGAATTGAATTTGCGTTGGCTTGGAATTGAAAGGGAAAGCTTTCGGAACGCGGGTCCTCAGCCATGCCATTGCCAGCGCTTGCACTTCCGCCAATTGCCAGGAGCGCTTGCTCAAGCCGTGTCCAGAGCTGTCCGCCCCCAAGCGGGACGTAGGTCATCAACATGAGCAGCGCCCCAAACCCATTTTGGGTTTGTGTTTGAGCAGGTCACCCGGTTTCAGAAGGGTTATGAAGTTATGTACGTAAGGCTTGTGCGGGTGCGTCTTCCTTTAGGGACACCCCAAAACATAAAAACACAAAACAACAAGGTAGAACGAGCTCAATGGGTGAAAAGTCGATGGGTGGAGTTTTGGCCTTGGATCCTAGCAGTGATCTGATTCTTGAGCCAATCATGCGAGTCTTTGAAGAGCATGGTTAGTCTCGTGGGTCGCATTGCTCCTTCACGCTTCCGTCCAGGATGAACTGGGTGTGGTTTTGTAGAGGCTCTCGAGGACCAATGACGTTGCAAGGCATTCCTGTTGACGTTTTGAATCAACAAGAATACATGATCGATAGAAACATGGGTGCCCCTACTGGCGTTCACTTCAACAATGCATTTATCTCTCGCCTCCGGTAGAATTTCCCTAATTATTCGAATTGGTCCCAAACAGGTGGGCGCCTTGTCAATTCAAGACTCCCGTTTGCTAATTCGTATAATGTTCATCAGTCTTCTGTTTTTTCTTATCATTATTCCCAGAGGGACGGGTGCCTTTGGGGAATTCAAGCTTGTTCTGAAAAATGGTTCTACTTATCATAACTATTCTAGTCGTTTTGCTTATTTGGAGGAGGACGGATTCCTTTTGGGGACCTCCAGATTCATGTTTGTTCCAATAATTTTACTTCTATGTTTTTCTAGATAACTTTCTTACTCACAAAGGGGCGGGTGCTTTTTGGTGAATTCCAAGCCAGGGTTTGTTCCAGGTATACTCATTGTTACACAAGAGACGAGTGCCATTTACGTCCTCCAATTGTTCTTGTCAACTCTTCATTCCCGAATTTGGTGAAAGGCAAGAAATTATCATGAGGCTTCCTTTCACGCTGCGTTCACCGAACGTGACAGAGAGTTGCAGTGCTGGAAGTGATTTCCTGTTGAAACAGAGCAAACAGCACAGAGTACACTGCTAGCCAAAAGCTTGGTGACACACTGTTCTCGTTTGCAGGTGGGTGTGACTCCGAGCCAGCCACCATCGTACCAGGCGCAGGCAGCGGATGTTTGGTCTCGCATAGGCCAGTGTAGGCTTTCTTGGGACAAACACAACAGGGCATCCAGACACCCGAAATGGATGCCACTGGCTGATGGAGCTGTTCTTTGTCGTGGTCATATGTGTATATATATATATATATACTATTATATTACATGTCTAGATCCTCTCACATGTCCCAAGCTGGAAGTGAGCAGGCCACTCTTATGCCCGAGCTCAGGCCTATCCAGCGTCCAGTCCCAAGTGAGCGAGAGAAGGGTCATGTCAAACTCAGTTTTTGTCAATGTCAGCAGGGGCCAACCACAGGGTACTCAACCTTCCTATGCAATTCCACTTCCCTCAGGGCATGACTCTATAGATTATGCGAGTGTGCATATAATCATGACTGTGGCCGCGAGCTGCGGGTTTGCCAAGGCTGATGCACGGCATGGCGCCGGGCCATCACGTGCACCCGCATGGGCATCACGGGTACCCGCAGCCCATGGCCTACCCGTACGGGCATTTGCCTCAGGCTGGGGCCTCAAGCCGGATGCGAAGCTTGCCGATCACAAACACGATGCCAAGGATGAGCTTCCAACCTCCCCCCCTCTGGCCCCTGCAACTCCTCTAAAAACATGGAGGTTCATCTTACGTCTGACCCCGACCTCAGAAGGTTCCCGAATTATTTTCATTTACTGAGCGTGCCAAGGCTCCTGCAATGCACATGATGGGGCCACTGCCTCAGGAAGGAGGTAGCTGGCGCTTGGCCAAAGGAAGCTGTCATGCGCCATCAGGAAAGCTGGGCTTTGCATGGGAAATGCCTGGCAAAAGCGTTTTGCACCAACGTCGGAAGCACCAAGGAGACTCCCAGGTGGCGAGGGTCCAAGGCTGCCAGTATCCCACCAATGGTTGTCAATTCGAGGACAGAAGGATGGTGCTTTGATGACGTCCCAAGTTGGAGACATATCAACGATATGCCTTTTTGTTTCACTGACGGGGTGGTGCAACCGAGGCATCCACCCCCGCATCACATGCCCGAGACCTGGAAATTCGAGAAGTGCTATGCAAGAGCGGGCTGCTCCCGGTCTAGTCCAGTGGCAGGACATTTTTTGGAACAAATGCAAAGCCAGTGCAAAGCATCTTCACGAACTGCAAGTCTTCAGCAAATCAGAGGTATCTAGCATCGTTGGGAACTTGTTACACCATTGCTCTACAGATGTGTTGCATAGGCTTGTGTGAGGGTCAATCTTCCGAGTAAATGCTCGCACCTTGGAAGGGGGTCTGCCGCTATGCTCGTTGGCATTCTTGCGAGCCGAGGCCGCAGGCGCACTATCCAGCTTACGCACCGCATCCGCACTTCCCCGGGTACTACATGCCACATGCTCGGCACAGTCTTCTGCCTTGGAACTATTGAAAGACGGATGCTGAAAGGACTTTGATTGAGATTCCAGATTCAGCTTGGTAAGCAACAGACAATCCAAGTGCTAGGCGCAAACCCACTGCAGAAGGGAATGTCCGGTTCACAGAGCACAGCTGGGCCGCGCTTGTCCCTTCCGTCAGGGGTGATTCTGGTATTCCCCATGATCCTTCTCCTTGGCCTGGCGCCATCCCTTCAACCCAATGCGATGATGTACAGGTGGTCCATGGGGGTTCTGATCACTCGAGTGCAGATTCTCGCCTGGCTGCGTGCTCAGGCCCGTGTATCCTGGTATGCGGCAGCCTAAGCCCATCACGCGTGGACTCGCACATTTTCCAAGGCCCTGCGTGGTATGTGAAGCCTTTAGGAAGCGAAAGCCCGCAACAAATTGGCACCCGGCTGAAGCAGCCGCTTTGCTGTAGGCTTCTTGGGGATGGTCTCTTTCCTGCACCCAGCATTCCCAGCATTTGGCCCCAAACCCGCCTGAGCCACGTCCCCGTTGCCCAGGCCCGGCCATCCTCCTCCGCGGGTCCACCGGGCATGTTGCAGCCGGGTCCGATTGGGTAAGGCGGTCAGAGACGGCCGTAGAGTCTTTTGTGCGTAGGGAAATACAATCGCAGGGTGGGTTGAAGGTGCTGGTCTCCCATGGGCGACGGTCTATCATTGCCATTGGGACATGCAAAAGAGTCCACGCGTTGGTTTGGCTTGCTCGGCTGATAAATGGCAGCGTGTTGTGGTCAAGGCACATAATGTTCTTTGGTATCAGGCCGATGCCGTGCTTGTCATGTTTCGCCTGCTCACTGCTCATTATCCTTTGGGACTTCAGCAAATGACAACACTTTTCCTTCGCGCCCGTGGGTGAATAACGGGAAAAGCGGCATAATGTCGACACAATTGCCACGCACGAACGCACTCTTCCCAATTCCCACTTGCAAGGAGAAAGACATGTTAATGGGCAGCGCTTCCCTCTAACGACTTCTTGCAGGATCGTCGCGATGAGAGCGATGAGGACTGAACACTGTTTGTTTTTGGAGTTGAACGGTCTGCTAAATCCTAGGTATCACCGAAGTGCTATTTAATGTACTCGAATTGTACAAGTCAGAGAGAACTCCTCAAGCGCAGGCGAAATCAAGTCACGTGCCACTTTCTCTTTCATGCCTTCCGAAGGATCGAAGGAAGAAAGAGCGGGAGGCAGTTGCTGGGGATAGGGCAGGGGATGTGGGACAGTAGAGCTCATTGGTCCTCAATGTGTTTTGTTTCTGCCTCCAAGGATCATGATGTTGACCCTGCCTGACCTAACCTAGGCCGACGTCACAACACATGCGCGCTCCATGCCAAGGTCCAACTCTCATGTGAAGCCAAGCCTACATCAAGGCTAGTGCCACACGGAAGCCCACCAGTCGAGGCCCACGCCAAGTTCTGATGCAGCCTCCACAGTCAAAAAGAGGTCCAGCAACATGGCAAGTTCAGAACTCAAAGACGTGCCAAGAAGATAGATGGAGGGATCAGCGAGCGCATGTTTTTAATATAGGCCCCTTTCCGATTTTTACTTGAAGCCAGGAACCATGCACACGACGAGTGAATAACACCCATATGATTCTCATATGATGTTGGCTTTGGGGAGAGGGTTCCATGTCGGTTTTCGGCGTTGCTGGCAAGGAACCCCCACCTCCGGCCAAGTTCGACGATGATCACTGGGAGGCTGGGGCCTTTGTGACATGAATTCACCCCGCGGATTGATTTTCTGTCAGCACCTTGGGCCCACACCCCCCAAGTATAACGAAGGCCGTGCAGAGCGCCTCAATCAAGGTTGTCCTACACGCGCTGCACTGACAATATTATTCGCAGTCTACTTGAGGCTAACATTGGGGACAACTGAAGTTTTCCGGCAAAAGCCACAGGGACAAACCCGTTTTTTCCATGCCTTCTTGGAGTACCAGCAGCTTCTGGATGTTACACAAACAGCTTTCCGCAGGCCAGCGCTTTTGAGACTGGTGTTTTGGCATTTTTTGCGTGTGGGGTTGTCTTGAAGGGAAACAAAAGGGCACCCACCCAGCGCAAACGTTACCCCATTTTGAGAAAACCCCATGTCAATCTCCTCTGTGTTTTGGCTTCAGAGCAAAAGACCAGCGAGGAGCCGCGGGAACGGACTCAGATGAAACTACTGGGGGAGGAGTGCCCCGAGGAGTTGTCGGGAGCTCAGAGTGGTTTGAGACGACTTGCGGTCCCCGCTGTCGGAGATGATCAAACCTCCTTTGGTAATTATTTGACGAGGCTGTGCCTTGGTCTATGCTTGAATCTGGTGCCCCTGAGCAGCTAGGGAGTCATTGTCACAGGCGTGAACGGCCGCTCTGTGTTTTTTGGGAGTGGGATTCCGCGCGCTTTTGGGGTCGCCTGGCCAGTCGGCGGCTTTGGACCTACCCCCTCTCCGACGAGAATCGTCGGAGCTTCGCCGGGTGAGCATTTCAGTGGAAGCCTCGCCCATGTTCAGCTTCTCCTGGCCATGCCATAGCATATTTGTTCTCCTGGAAGATATATGGGAGGGACTGGACATGGGGTTTAGTGTGCCAATCTTTTTGCCAGACATTTAGTCAGATTGGGTTGTGCTTTCCTTGGAAGCCACCCCCAAAACGGGTGCCCTCAAAACAAGAGACGCTCATGTAGCAAAAAGCGCTTCCCTACATGCCCGATGGTTTGCTGACACAACTTTTCCAACCCGCAGGTACGTGCAGCGGGCGTTGGACAAAGACCACTGCAGAAGCTTCTTCGCAAAGATTCGGGACCGTCCAATATTGCTTCCCCTGTTTGTTTGCGTGTTTGCTTGTTTGCTTGCTTGCTTGCTTGCTTGCTTGCTTGCTTGCTTGCTTGCTTGCTTGCTTGCTTGCTTCCCCTGTTTGTTTGCGTGTTTGCGTGTTTGCGTGTTTGCTTGCGTGTTTGCTTGCTTGCTTGCTTGCTTGCTTGCTTGCTTGCTTGCTTGCTTGCTTGCTTGCTTGCTTGCTTGCTTGCTTGCTTGCTTGCTTGCTTGCTTGCTTGCTTGCTTTTTTGCTTGCTTGCTTGCTTTTTTGCTCGCTTGCTTGCTTGCTTGCTTGCTTGCTTGCTTGCTTGCTTGCTTGCTTGCTTGCTTGCTTGCTTGCTTGCTTGCTTGCTTGCTTGCTTGCTTGCTTGCTTGCTTGCTTGCTTGCTTGCTTGCTTGCTTGCTTGCT